AAGAAGAAAACATGTACTTTAAAATGAACTTCACCACTGACACTCGTGCATCTTACAGTAATTGTAAGATATTGACAGGTGCTAAGGTATCATTCTCTACACTGCAGACACATTGCTCAAGGGAGATATGTATTCAGAAATCAGCTTTGGTTCTACCAATTCAGGAAGTTCAATCCAAATATGGAAGAATACTTTTCCCAGAAGTACCTGTAAGCAGATTTTCTTCTCCAGTCGGCATCAAAGCCTGTGAAACCGTTCAGTCATCATCAAAGAGAAGCAAACTTATTGGTTCCCTTTATGTCAGTAGGAACAGTGGTAACTTAGAAGAAGAACTCCCTGCATTTGAGATAATAGGGGACAACATTGATCTGATGAAGCACCCCTCTCACATGACTAAGGAAAGACAGCGACAGAGTATTCATTGGTTCCTCAATGTTGCTGTGCAGAAGAGAGTCATTTCAAAACTACCAAATGAGAAACCATTGGCTGAGATATGTAACATTCCTAACCACACATTCCTACCAAGCTCAGGTGATTGCAAGGATGTTGATAGGTCTTTTCAATTCCATATATCAAAAGTACTTGTGAAGCATATTGCATGTCTGAAACCATTCAAGGACAGTGTACCAGAGTACATAGATCACCAATATTTGAAAGAACTTTCACAAAAATCACAGTATTGCATTGTAGATTTGCTGGATAAAAGTGAAAACAAAATGGAAGATATGATATCCATTCTACAGCATCTCCATGAAAATTATATTGCCCATACTGATGATAACCCACCTTCTGTCATTGAGAAGATAGTCTTTGGGGGAGACGTTTTAACAAACGAGAGGGCATACTCTGCACAGCTTGCAATGTTGAATGGACAAAGTGACTTCTTTAGACTGTGTGGTGTTGTGCACAGGCCAGAGGGTTTACACAGAATGATGAACTTTCTTCTGGTATTTTAGATGCTTGCCCGTTAGCTGTTGATTCCAGTTCTTCGTTGGTTGGAGAGTTAATAACCTTTTCATTGGAAGTTCCGTTCCTGATTCTTCAGTTTGTTTTGTTGTTGGATAGTCATGAAAGTTAGTTGCATGTTCTTTAAATGTATATATACCCATAAATAGTTCAGATTATTTTCAGGCCAAATACAATTTTTTTGTCTCAAGACCAAGAAAAAAGTCTATAAGTGAGAAGAAATTTCATCTTTTATCTGTACTGAATAATTCTTACAACCAAGAAACAAATGATTTTATTTGGCCTAAAATTTTTATCATATGTTTGCATGTCAGAGTGCACTTAACCTAAAATTTATTCAATTTTCATGTTTATTCTTGGATTGCGAAGATTCCAAATTTATAAATGACAAGATTTTTTTCTTGTTCAGTATTTACTTTCATTATTCTTTTTTTCACATGATTATATATTTTATTTAATGTATCAAATAATTCTTATTGCACTCAACAAAATAATTATTTTGTAAAGTTATTTTTTAATGAAATTACCTTCGCAATCTTGCTTTGTTCTTATTGCAGTTTATTGCATGAATTCAATTATTTTTAAATAGACAAGTAGAACAGGAGGGACATTTTGCTTTACAATCAAAATACATGTCTATCATAGAAATCGTTAAAGTAGCTATTAAATTAGATATACATGTTCTTTTCAAATCTCAGATGTGATTTCCTGTGTTTACAGCTCGTGTCTCATTTATTTTAGTTCATCTATCAAGAATTCTACAGTGCGAGCTCTGCTTCAGATCAAGGTACTCTTTATCAGTTGCGCAACCTCTTACATAGAGTTGATGTTACAGGACCTGATGGTGTCACCGGTGCTTTCAGGTAAAGCACATGAGTAAACACTCTGCATGTTAAATTACATAATATAAACCTTCTCCTTTTAATACATTTTTCCAAAATTTGTAGGCAGCATTTTGCTTTTGTTGAGGACTGCCTTGATGCTTTTATACTGGCTGCTGCCATGGATATAATGGGCATGAATGAACTGGATGATCAACCTAAGGAATTCAGACCACCACCACTGATACAGACTGCTAGCTGTGATGAGCAATATTCCTGGTTGTCATCATTAGCGCAAGAAATTCTGGAACGCCATGTGAAGCTTGATAAAGGTAAATGCATTCTTCATGTAGATGTGGGCACATTTTGTTTTAAACTGTGAATATCCTTTAAGTAAAGTATTAGCATACAGAATCTGCATAATATGTTGTACTATACAAGTTTGGTTACATTCCACATCATATTTTAGTACCTTCACTTTGACCGTATACATGGTATAAGTGAAAATTTTAATGAGACACAAATTTAGCAATTTGTCCAAAATAAAGTGGTATTCAAGTTTTAACGAGATGTAATTGTAGCTATTTTAAATGCTAACTAAAGAACCTATTATTTATAAGATGCAATTCATTTTAAGCCATATTCAGTTTTAGCAATCTCAGCACCCTTGTTTAAAATGCCAAACTTATGCCTTGCATAAATTATGCTTGAACTGTAAACATGTATGAAAAAAATGGTCACCCTCTTTTCTAACGTAACATTTACTCTGCAGTTTATTTTTTTCTATAATTTTGAATTTCAGACAAGAATCCACAGCAAATCGCTGCAGAGGCAATGGAACTTGATCAGAATTCAGCCTTAATACAGGAAATGTATGACCCATTGACCAGGAAGTACACTTGCACCTGTGCCAAAGAGTACAAAAGTCTGGGATTTTTCAAAAGACATTTAGTTAAAGAGCATAACTGGACATTTGACGTACCAGAAAAAAATCCTTCTGAGACCGATTTGATAGCTTCGTACAGAGGATCATTTATGAAGAACGCATTATTGTTAAGAGACACATACAATGCATTTCGTATGGGAGATGGGAACAGAATTTCAAGGAATACCAAATTTGAAATGCTATGTGCTTCTGTTAGGGGTCACACCAAATACAAGTTGTGGCTTTGGAGATTCCAAGCATACATAACCGCAATTTTGACTCCAAAACAGGCAGAGGAGTATTTATGGAACTGTACGGCAAGTACAAGTGGAGGTGTTGGGAACAATATTCCTAATGACAACCTTGTGGAGTTGCATGTTCAGCTCGTTAAAAAACTCATCAAGGAACAAGGAGGAAACTTCACCTACCAGAGTGCCAAGAAAGCAGCTCTTTCAGCCCATCTGCAAAAGGAAATGAAAGAAAATCTGGAAGGAAATGTAGCAGCAGCATCATCTGGGAGAAGTCGCACCAAAACGGACAGTTCTAGTGACTTATATCTTATTCTAAAAGAACTTGTTGCTGCTGGTGTGTTCCGATATGAAGTAGGCAGAAAATATGATAGTTTTAGCAATTTCAAAGATGTCTATCAAAGAATAAATTTGCCTGAATTACATGCATGGATAACAAAGCAAAAAACCCGTGCATCAAGTGAAATGTTTTGAGTGACCAGAACTGTGTTTATAAAATGTTAAAAATTTTTAAACGTGTTATTTGCTGTACATCATCAATTTGCCATTTTTGTATATATTGCTTGAAAAGTGAGGAAATGTTAGAATATGGCAGAATTAAGTATGATGTAAATTAAAATTTACACTTGTTCAAATATTTTTTGAAAGGATGTTTTTTTGCATTTTAACGTTGATATATAGATCTAGCAAGAGTCCAAGTGCAATCAATTAAGTAAACAGAAAATGTCAGTTTTCAAACTATGTATAGTATGCTATTAAAAATGTTATATATGCAAACATCAAGTGGAATCTCCCACCAATAATGGAATTAACAATATTTTTCCTAGCTGACTCCCTTTCTAAACATGCCATCTATTAAATTGATTTGGGGAATTTCAGTCTGCTCTCTGATGGAGGTCATTTTATTTTCTACAAGTATTCATCTTATATCAATAATTCTTGAACATTTAGATTTAAGAATACGAAAAGATGTGATGTGTATGATGTATTTATTACATATTTATTACATATGTATTAAAACATTTATAAACTGACCAAAACAATTCAATAAAAAAAATTAATTGCTGATAACATGTACAGTAGTAGATTGTGTTTTTTGTGCCAAAAACATGTCTCATTGTATTGTTAGGTTACAATTGTAAATTAGTTTAATGAATCCAGGGCTCCCCATCCCTGGCATTAAACTTAGAACTAAATAGTGGGGACAATAAAAGTACATGTATAAAATTATAGAAAATTGTTTTCCATTAAAACATTCTTTTACCTGAAACAAGTGCTTTCAAAGAAAATAAAAACATTTGTGTTAATATTTAAGGATTTTATAAACTAAGGAAAGATGGTTTTCTAAAAAAAAAAACATTACATTAGGTAGAATACATACATGTGTAGTTCTATTTCCTGCTGTATTAGCCTTTGTCAATAGGGAAAAAATGTAATCTTTAAATTGACCTGATAATCAGGTCAGATTCCTGTTGATTGCTTACAAAAGATGACCACCACATTATTCATTTATATAAGCATGATAAGCTAAAGAAAAGAAGGTTTCCAAACACAAAAAGAAAAAACACTGTAAATTATCACAGAATTAAAGTTAAGATATACTGAGTATATTACACATGTACTTTCAGTTTTTATTCTGAGTCTGAGCTTGAAATATTTGTCATCATGTCATCAAATACATCAATTAATACTTCATGAACATATTTTGCTAAGTCATATGACCAAACATATTGCAGTACATCTTCAACAGAAAAAAGATTGCTAGCATTTTTTATGATGCATTCTATATTTGCTGTAGAAATTGTTTCCAAGTCTGTTACAAATGAAGATGTCGAGTTCTGGTCTAGGGATTCTTTGAGTAATTTCAACTTATGTCTCAAAAGTTGAAATTCATCATCAGTAATGTTTCTAGTCCTACTTGTGCATTGTTCTTCAGTAACTGGATTATCTGCATTAAAAAAGACTGGATGTCTACAAGGACACTCCATTTCGCCACACTTGCATTTAGATTCGCACAAATCACAACAACAATGATCAACAACTGTTTCACATTTTTTTGTTAAATAACAATCTGCAATGATTTTCCGTCGGCAACTGTCATCAGAGATTATGAGTTTCATCATTTCATTGTCTAGTTTCTTCATCTGAGTCTTGTGACTCTTATATAAAATTAGTTCATCAGATTGTTTGCCGTCTCTACCAGCCCGCCCCATCTGCTGAACTAGGGTGTCCATATCTCTTGGAGGGGTAAAGTGTACAATGTTATGTAAATTTTTAAAATTTACACCCATTCCCGCAGAACTTGTACTCACTAGTACACGTATAATGCCATTTTCTGATTCCATATCCTTTCGAATTGTTTTTTTAACATCATCGGGAGTTTTACTGTGGTACATGTTGATCATATGATTCATATGAACAAATTCACGAACAAGGGCACTGTACACAAGAGAACATTCCTTTATTGTATTACAGAATATCAAGTGTTTTGGGAAGTCTTTACCTTTATCTTTTAAACCACTGAAAATAAATTCTAGATCATCCTCCACTTCCGAATTGTTCTTGACCTTTTTCACTGAAATTTTAATGTTGTGTCTGTCTGGACTGTCAACTATAATACAGTTATTTTTTTTAAAACAGAGATTTTTCATTATTTTACGACGGTTGGTAGGACTTGCTGTTGCTGTTAAAGCAAGCACTGAGGCCGCAGGGCAAAGAGATCTTAGTTCTCCAATTCTAGAGAAAGATTCTCGGAACACTTCCTCCTGGTTATGGCTCTCACCCCTATTGATCATAAGAAAAATTCAGTAAATAACTTGTAAAATAAAATACAAAAGAAATTACAATTAAAATGCAAAAAGCTAATGTCAGATAGGAAAAGTGAACGTTTTATATATGACCAAATTACTTTTGAAACACTGAACTCTACTGACTGTGTGCAATGCTATCATCATGATCAATTTGGATGAAACTATTGTTAAAAGTCCTTGAACAATAAAAAATAATAGCACTGTTTACAATATAGTGGATCAACTTTATCTCTCACCATTGCAGAATAGTGTGTGCTTCATCCACTACTAATAGGCCAACTTTTTTGGAAAATACTGGGTGACGAAACGTATCTCTCCATTTCGTACTGTCTACAAGAATTTCTGGACTCCCGTAAATGAATTGATATTTTCCACCAATAATTTCATTCAATGGCATTTTAAGACTGTCAATGTAAATGGCAGACATGCCAGTCTTGTTTAATCTATCAACCTGTTCTTCCATAATGCTCTGGAGTGGAGCTATCACTACGGTCACCATTTCTTTGTTCAGAACACCCATACTTTGGTAGATAATAGTCTTTCCGCTACCCGTTTTCGTTCCTACGAATACGTCACGTTTGTTCATTAAAGCATCTATTGCTTCTTGTTGAAAAGCATTTAATTTTTCTATTCCAAATGTTGTTTCAACATTTTCAACGGAGGTCGCCATATTGTGTATGATTTTCTACCGAAGCATACATAAAAGCTTTCATTTCATTGGCTGTTTGCCTCAACCAGGATTATCGTTCTTTCCGAAAATTTACAGATGGCGCTAGGTGTGACCGGCGTTTCACAGTGCATGTCGGCCAAGGGTTTATGGGGAGCGTTGCGGACCGAAAACCCTTGGCTAGCGAAGATGATGAAAATCGGGCACGCGATTCTTCATATTTCAAATGTGTGTACTTATCATGTACATCTTCATAGACTCGGGCTTACTTTTTGGATGTGCAACTCTTATTAGACTTCATCCAGTCTTTTTACCCTCCATCAATCTGACAATCAAAGTTTCTCCCTTCCTCTGTAGTTTCACTTATTTTTGTGAAATGTGTCTTCTTAATGTCCCCTTTTGGTATTTTATGGCCCCAGAGTCAGGAGTTCTGGTGTTTTAGGGCGGGGCTTTATTGATTATATAGTGAAAATGCATTTAGTCTTTGAAAATCCTCTTCTCTGCTTCTGAGTATTAAATAAACTAACTAAGCACATAGTTATGATAAGCAAGAGTGCAATTTCCAAAATTGTGAATTTTATGCCAATGATCCAAGTGTGTATATTTATGATGAAGAAAGGTGCATCTAGCAAAATGGTTATTTTTATGCCCCCTGGGTCGGGGGAGAGGGGGGTACATGGTCTGAAAATAAAAAATGCTTTGAAATCTGCTTTGATATTAATCCACCATTTTATGATAAGATTTGCAAAAATTTTGAAATATGTGGCCCCAGGGTCAGTGGTTATTTTGTGTGAGGTGCACTACTGGTTATATAGCATGTAAAGTTGAAGAACATTTTCTCTTTGTTACCCTGATCTACCAGGTGTATTGAATAAGTAGAGTAAGCATGCTAAGTTTTTTAATTATGATAAGCAATGCTGCTTATATCAAAATTGTGAATTTCATGGCATCTGGTTTAAAATACAAACCAAATTTAATTGTTTGAAAGTTGTTACACAATACTCAGGTGGCCTTTAAGGCCCGTGGGCCTCTTATTTGATCTTAGAAGCAGAAACATGCCGTCTGTGCAAACCAAAGACAAAAGTCACATTCGAAAGAGGCTGATGGGTTCGCCAGCTCGGGCCAAGGGGAGAAAAAACGCCGCACCCGAAGCCCCCCTGAGGCACAGTCACAGCGCCCGGAGGAGGTGGCAGTTCCCGAGGAGTCCCAAGGCCATGCCCCCGCAGAAGTGAGCATCTCGACAACCAACACCCCGGGTGAGACACTCATTCACATGGCAGGTTTACCACATCAGCAAACTTGCTCAGCGGACAGTATAGCCGCTCATGTACCTCATAAGCGTAACTTGAAAATATGGGAGAGGCAATTTGTATATCTTTCCCTCTTACTAAAATTTGCAACGGAATTAAATGAATGGGATTCACAAGGGGAAGTCCATTTTAAAAATGGCCGTTTCGTTTATGTGTTGTCAAGCGAAAACAGAACTCGCAGTTAAGTATCGAAAAGTGGACTTCAGCTTTTATGATTCACATGAGTATCATTTTCGAACAGTGAGGCAAAAGCTCTAGAAATGCTAAAATGTATGCTAGACATCCGCCTGACAGCTAATCATTCGTATAATTGGTATAAGTACGACTCACAATTCCAACAGCAAAGCTGGTCAATTTTTCATGAAAATAAATAGATCAAAACAGATCAAATAGGTAAAGTTTAAGTTCTGAAATACAAAAAATTACATGTACCTGACACACAATTTTGTACAACAGCAACAATCGGGCCTTCTTTGCAGTTAAGACCCCCCCCCCCTCCCCCAATACAGATATATTGTTCATGTAGATGGTACACCGATTACCCGTTTTCAATTTCAGGCAGTTTTAGATAAGTCCCTCTCATTTACCCAAGTGCATGGAAACTATATTATAGATCTCATAGTTTCCGCATTTGAATGGCCACACAGTTGGCAAAACGCGGAACTCCTGATGCGCAGATTAAAGAAATGGGTAGATGGAAATCTAATTCATTTTGACTTTCAAGTTTTATCCACGCATACTTCACAAATACCATACAAGCAACACCCGCACACACAAAGATGCTCTCAAGTAATTTTACCAAAGCATTTCAAATAAAAGAATATGGATAGTTGAAGCATCAATCCCATACTGAGCTGGACTGGCTGCAGCTAGCAGGTTTGGTGGAACCAACTTCAACTTAAAGGCTTCAATCCTATGGATGGGAGTAAGCGGAGCTACAAAAACCTGTAAATTATTAACAGATCCCAGGGCTCTCCTGAAGCTGTACTCAAATTTCTTCCTCAAAAGAAGAGATTTAGACATCACAGACGAAAGTGTCCCCACGGAGGGGGAGGGTGCCTTTATCTTCATCAGCCGCTTCAATCTCTTCCATGATGCTATAGATGAAATTTCCTCGTTGGAGAATGTCCGTCCTCTTCTTCAGATGACTTCCCACGGGGAAGCGGCTGAGGATTTGGGCGGGCCCAGGAGAGAATTCTTCCACACGTTCATGGAGGAGGTGAAACACCGACTCCTCCATGTAAATGCAGGTGCTATAGAGGTGCATCTTGAAGGGGAAGCACTCGCAAGGCCCAATTACTTTTGGTAATCGGTAGGTTATAAATTATATCTTAAATATTTCATAAAAACAAGTTTTTATTTGCGGTTTTGGAATGATTATTGTTTCCATCTGCACAAGCCCTGATCGTTCTTCAAGGAGGCCTTCTGTTGGGGTTCCTCCCGATTATTATTGATGGCAGCACCGCGGCCCATTCCCAGTTAAGGCGCGGACTGGAGTGGACGGGTGTCCTTCAAGTATGTGAAGTTTGGGAAAAAAAATGTATATATACATAAAAAAATAACTTGTCGTACTTTCGATGTATGTTTCCAATGGTGTCACTACTTTCAGATAATTGAACGAACGAACATGAAATACTAATTTACAAATGAAACCATCACGCTTAGTGTCTCCAGATTGATGCAGTTGATTTCTCAGCAGAGGGAAGTAATGCCAGAATGAAGGGGGAGCATTCCGTCCAACACTTTGTGAAATATCTACGAGAAGTGTACGGTAAGAACTTATATCGACGGGCTAAAAATTCTTGTAAGGAAAATTTTAAAAATGCATAACGTCTGTTTCTGAATATGTTACACACATGTCGTACAATACCAGCGATAGGGATATTCGATATTTATAGATTAACTTTCACGTGTCCATTGGAATGTACAAATTATACATGTGTAATTTCACTGGAACTTTTTATTCTCTAACCGAGCTGTTTGGCGCCATTCAGAGAACAAAGGCGGATCCAGTAATTTTTAAACGTAAACATATCTGTAATCTTGCCAAAGTATTGCAGCGCTTCATAGATTATGGAATTAAACTCAAAGGGAAAAATGTGAACTCTTTCGACCTGAAGTGGAGTATTTAGGAAGAACAGTAGGAAGGGATGGTATAAAAGTTCCATAGATACCATGACCAGATGGAAAGCTTCTACTTGTACTCAAGAAGTGAAAAAGATTTTGTGGATTTGCAAATTATCATAGAAGCTTCATACAAGATTTTGCAAAGATTACACTCCTTTATATGGACTTACAGGTAAAACTCCTTTTCATTTGGACGAAAAGCATGAATGTTCCTTTGAATCTGTGAAAAAATGCATTAATGAATGCGCCCGTTCTTACCATTTCTACAAAAGACGGAAAGTTCATTCTCGATACTGATGCCTCTGACATTGCTATCGGTGCTGAACTGTCTCAAGTACAAAACGGTGTTGAACGCTGTATTGCATATTGTAGTTTTACACTTACTCCTGAGCAAAAGAAATACTGTACAACCAGGAAGGAATTATTAGCCGTAGTCAGGTTTTCACGTCATTTTCCTCATTATTTGCTGGGTAGACCTTTTGACATAACGGAATTACTATTAGGAACTAAGACACAACTTTGTATTGAATCAAGATTTATTTAAACGTATTATCACTGATAAACCTTATTGCTCGTGTGGTAAACAAGAAGATGCCTATCATTTTTTCTTTGTTTGTTAAAAATACCATATTGCTCGAAGTAATCTTTTTGACTATCTTTTTCGACTTGATTTAGACATCATAGATGTACACCTACTGCTATGGGGCAACGAAAATCTCTCGGCTGGAGTAAACATTGGCATTTTTGCCTCTGTTCATAAATTTATAAATGAAACTTGTAGATTTAGCTAGACATATTATTGACTCTTATTTGTACACGTTTTTGTTACTATCTTGCATGACAATTACTATGTGTTTTTAAGGAAAAAAACTAGTAGGTTGTCAGAACTTGTGTCTTATCCTTTTGCTCAACAATAAAATATGTTCAAAACACATTAGGAAAGATCACAGTAGTCTCCAGTGGCTCATGAATTTTAAAAACCTAAATGGACAACTAGCTAGATGGTTAGAGGAATTGAGCCAGTTCCGCATGAACATCTATCATCGACCAGGAAACAAACATCAGAATGCGGACGGTCACTCTCTCGGATTCCTGATACATAGGTATGTCCACATTACCAAGACGATTTCCAAAAGAACAGTTACCATTTGGTGGATGTAATTATTGTAGAAGAGTGCATCAAAACTGCAGTGAATTATCAGAAATATGGATGATGCAATTCCATTGATAAAATACAATCAAATACTCAGAGATCAGGAAGTGCAGTGTAACTTATTGGTGTACCCGAAACTTCCTTACCAAGAATGTTTCAACTTTTGATGGACATGCTTCAGATGGAAGACTAGAAATTCATCAAAGAGCTTATGGATGTAACATATGTATTAGTGTCACGTTGCCCAGGAACATTTTGTAAAACGGGGAGGAGTGTGGTAGTTACGTTACGTTTGATATGTACATCGGGTTCGGAATTCTAAAAATTGTTATCGATTCTCGTGCCATTGATAGTGACAGATATACACGTTGTTTTCCACTTTTGCCATTGTGTTTTCATTGCCGTAATATTGGCAATTTGTTTATTTCATGTTATATGTTCATTATAGTACAACAAAGCTACTATATTTTTTTTCAGATTTTCCAGAACCTCAAGGGAAATCTTCGTGGCTGACTTTGAGAAAGTCAAAGGTATTTAAAATATTTAGCTTATGACTTCGAACTATTTTAATATAGTAAGTAATTATCAATATAATTATATTTAGTGATATCTGAATTTTAAATATCGATAAATAGAAAGTAATCTTGAATACATAGGAATTCATATGTGGAATAAGCAAATGATTTTTTTAAATTATATGACATAAAATGTTTATTTTTTTTTTATATATTTTTTTTCATTAATTATATTGAATTCTTTCTTAGGTGCCTGGAAAGCCATCTGTGATGAATTCCCAAACAGTTTCATCAAAGGATGCGCCTTTCACTTCGGCCAGGCAGTGTGACGGAAATTACAGGAATTGGGGCTGAGGACAACCTACACCAAGCGTGGTACGGAGTATCGGTACATCAGGTCCCTGATGGCACTGCCTTTCCTGCCCTCTGCAGACATCCAGCCAGCTTTCGACCGAATCGAAGCCAGGGCAACTTCCTAAGAACTCAAACAGCTTGTTGCCTACATGAGCACCAACTGGGTTGGAAGTGCAGTTTGGCAGCCCAGGAACTGGAGGATCTTCATCTTCAAGACGAATGTGAGGACGCACAACGATGTAGAAGGTAAGCTAAATATTTCTGTTCAATTATTAGATGGTAAATAATTTAAAGTAATAAAAAAATTCATTATTAATTACAACTTATACATGCAATAAGAATAATTCCGTGAGCATTTTTATTTATTTTTTAATTACATCTTACAGGTTGGCACACCAGGATCAACGCTGACATCGGCAAGACCAACGCCGCCTTCTTCACCGTGAGACTCGGGTGGTGGACCGCACCGTGCGACTAGTTTCCGAGGAGCAGATCCTGCGCTGCCAACGGAGGAGGATCCAGGGCCTCACTGCCCGCCTTCATGACACTTGGGACAGCTACATCAGTGGGGAGCTCACCGCATCACAATTGTTGCGAGAGTGTGTTGGTGTTTATGGGCCCACCAACGATTAGTGACATCATTTGTGATTGTGATGTGACATTATCTGCCAAGACTGTGTTGACATATGTGAACATTGCCCGAGAACATTGATCGTGACTGTGAACTGTGTAAATATGTGATATATACAAGTGACTTTTACATGTATGTAATACATATAATGTCTTTTATATTTATTTGAACTGATGATCACAAACTTTTTTGCAATTATTGAATGAAAATGAATTTAAATTAAAACACATAATTTTTTGTTAGTCTTTCTTCAGTACAATTTGAGGCTTTGATAGTAAGGTGTTGAATCTGCCATTTCAATCAGCATACATATCTTCAAAATAGTTTAAGTCAATAAAGTTAAACTATGAAGCAGTATACGCAGAAGCAATTCTAGATAGGTAGAATCGTAACAAGGTCACAAAACTGCCACTCTGTGGCTCCTAGATAAGACGTTTTAAGTAATAGTAAGATCATATGAAGAGAAATCTTCGTCATGAAGAATGGGCGGAGCGAAGATTTCTCTCATATGATCTTACTGACTTAGAACAGAACCTCAGCCAATCAAATGAATGGATTAGAAATAAACTCCTCCCACGGCTGTGTCCTATATATAATGCTCAAATTGACCGCTTGTTGTACATATCGAACACAATCACTATCGAACACACGCGGTTTCAGAATGGACTTCAACGCATGCAGGTTAGCACGGGATTATATGAAATACATGTAGCTTGATTCAGGCACGTACCAACAGGGGAAGCACTTTTTTCTTTCGAAAATGTTCATTGAATGTTCATTGAAAAGCTGACCCCCCCCCTCTTTTTTTCACAACAGTATATGAATATGAAGGTAATTTAATATTGTACGGAGGAAAATGGTACTGGAAGAAATTGGAATTGAAAAAAAAAGTTCAAAAACGATGTTACGTAAGTAATTTACTGGGGAAATGGTATGGAGATATTGAAGCTACTGAACTAATGAATATCCGTGTAACAAGAATCTATATTTTTGATGCATTTTTTAAATTTCTTTTGTAAATTATTTTTCTTTATCGAGTGTTTTCGGAATATAATACCGGGACCGTTTCACATGTATATAGGATGGCAACATGTAAACAGATGCGATGATGCAACTGCTGCTGTAAACATACTCATGATACCGATGAAGTTTTTACCAGCTAAGTAGGTACAGCTATAGTCCATTTGGTAAATACATCTGCGATAATCAAAACGTTTTCGAAACCCTGGGCTGGTTCTAATACCATTAAATCAATAGCGACAGTTTCCAAAGGTTCAGAAGCCATCACATGTTCCTGACGAGTATGGACTTTAGGTGTAGGCAGTTTTGCTAGGCAACATCGCTCTCACTTTTTGCAATAGTCCTTGATATCATTGTACATGCCTGGCCAAAAACATCGTTGTTTTACTAGGTTCACTGTTCTTTCTATACCTAGGTGTCCTGTATGGTCATGTGAATTTTCCATCACAATGTTTTTCATACACAGTAGTAACACAATTTGTTTCAGTTCACCTAACTTTGGGTCTGACACTTTCCTGTATAAGACTCCATCACACACAAATACACTTTGAATCTGTTTCAGTAATAATCCAGTTATTTTGTCTTGTTGTTTAATAAACTTCACAGATGGCACAGTTTTGTTGCTTTTGTTGATCAAGTGCTGTTTTAATGTAGATAATTGCTTTGTCTTTCATCTGTAATTCTTTGATCTTTACTCTGTCAATTTCCGGAAATGTGGACTGTTCAGAAATAATCGCACTAAAACTATCCTTCTGTCTCAAATCACTTGGAATTGAAAATAATCCGGTAACATTGCACAATATTTCAGAACACTGTAGTCTCGATAGTACGTCGCCATTTGTGTTATGTTTTCCCGAGCGGTATTTAATATCGAAGTCAAAATTTGTAAGTTGTGACGCCCAGCGTTGCTCGTAAGCACCCAATTTTGCTGAAGATAAATAACGCAAAGGATTGTTATCCGTATACACAGTAAATTTGTTGCAAATCAAGTGATCCCGGAATTTTTCTGTTACACTCCATTTTAATGCCAGTAATTTAAGTACACCTTCCTCACTCAATAATATGGCCTCTTCCCGTAATGCATAGAAATCACACTATTTTCTTTATTTCTCTCCTGATGTGAGCATCTCTTAGATTTTCGGACAAATGTTCACATAACGTGCGTTCCTTATTTCTGAAAACCGATGAAACCTTACGAATAATCCTTTAGAATAAATCAAGTAAGGTGTTGGAGTATTTTCGGATACATTCGTTTTCTCCTTGTTTACAACCAAAGAATTTTTTCTGTAGTACGGTAATGGAATCCCTGTCACCGAAGGCTTTACGTAGACATTCCAACATTTCATTTGGTGCTGAGCGAATATCCGACCGAAATTTGATTTAATCCTTAGCTTCACCCTCAAGATGCGAATAAATAACATAACACTTTTCAGCAACAGACATATGTATAGCATGGAACACAGAAGCCAGCTCGTCGATCCAATCATCAACTGGTACATTATTTCCATTGAACTTTTGATTTTTTCGATCTTTGAAATAAGGATTCACAAAGTGGGGAACATCACGTTTTAAATCACATTCCAGTAATACCTTTACAAGCTCATGAACACGTTTTTGTTACTCCCTTTTATTCATTTTGCTCATTTTACAATAAATATTTTTTCAAAATATTAATTTGATATAAAAAAAAAATCTGATCTAAAATAACACCTTTAAAACAATTTAACCCCTTTTCTATAAATAAATGTCAAATGTAAATGATAATTGAACTGTCCAAATGTGAGGGGAAAAAAATAAAGTTCGAGTCATACACAGTTCAAGAGTCAAGTCCGTGGTACACCGCCAGCCATCTTGGATTTCCCTATTTTGTCTTCGCCTTGAAACTGTTTCCCCCGTAGGCCTTCGTAGTTTGTGTCGTTCCGTCCTCGGGATTTACGTGCTTTGCCATTGCCGTTTTAAGTGACTGCTCGCAGCGTCATATGTAACCGAGCAGTAACAAGACCAGATCACGTTTAAATCTTTAATATTTACATTTGCAAATGTTTTCCTTTATATAATACTACAGAAAGGAATGCGTATCTATAACTGTATAAATACAGGTATGGGGTCAAGAGGTCATACATGTGCGTATGGATAATCGTTTGACGTAATTTCTCAGTGACGTCATAAAGGGTCGACGCGCTTTCAGTTGATTAAATACTGCCGTTGAGTTTGAAAAATAATGCATTTCACACGTAAAAAGTCACAATCAGGCAAATATAGTATGAATAAGTCACAAATGTAAATATAAGTAATAAGGTATCATTTTAAAAACATCTATCGGGCTATAAATACGGGTTGGTACGAGATTAAATTCATCATAAAGCCTTCGGGCTTTATGGAATTTAATCTCGTGACCAACCCGTATTTATAGCCCGATAGATGTTTAAAAATGATACCTTATTTCTTAATTAACAGGAATAAACGACAATGGCATGTGTCATTAAAAAGAATACATAATTATAACTTCAAATAGAATGAAAAATAACATAAGGTATGAAAAAAATAATAATAAGATATGAAAAAGAAAAGTATTTCAAAAGTAAATACCTTTACGGACGGCACGGCCTCGAGAAGTTGTGACCTTGAAAAACTGGCTGGCGGGACAAGTAATTTCAATCGAACATGAGTATTTATACCTAGACATACTGCGCAAGTGGATTGAGTTGATTTTAAAAATACGCCAGTCAGGAATGAGATTACAAAGAGTGTTTGACAAAAGCCTTTACAAAATGTTAGAATCATGCTCACTTAATTCAATAATCGAATAAGAAATAAGTTAACAAAAGTGAGTACGGTATTAGCCTAAATAAATATATGAATTGAAATATGTAATTACTTGGTCACAGGTAAGTAAATGCAGACAGAAGAGGCACTATTGTGTTGCTGCTTTAAAAAACGTGTCTCTGTCTCTGACCAGGCCTCAACTGTTCTGATCGGTTTAGCTGTATTGCAAGGACTTATGGGTAAAATGGGCATAGGGACAAAACGCGGGAAATACAAATAAACGTACAAGTGCAATAGTGATTGTTCTGCAATAATAATGATAAGGGCAACGCCTTTTTCAAGTATATTTTGAGCTATTATCCCCTCGCAACGGAGTTGGAAAAGGGCTAGTAACGCAACCGTTTATGTTTGTTTATGGGTGAGTGAGTTAATTCTGTATAAAACAGAAGAAACGTAATTTGCATCGGGATTGATGTCCAATCCTGCCTTGATTTATAAATATGCTCTTTGCGATTGGATGCTCCAATTTACGGTTTTCTTGTTACATTTGCGTCTAGATTAACCAAACTGTAATAACGCACATTTTTTTAAAAAAGTTTATTATCGTTAATTTCTTCAATTAGGTCAAAATGCAGATTCAAGTTCCCCAAAACTATAGATTCCTTATTTTTCGAGAGTGCTTCTTATCTCAAAATGCCACTTTAACGTCAAATTGAAAAAAAAAAACTTTGGATATTAATCAATCTACTGTAGATCTTATTTTTCTTAAACTTCATTGTTGTAAGCGTTAGCACTAGAAAATATCTATAAAATAAAGGGATAGATTTAAAAACTTTATTGGATAAAAAAGGAAAAGAAAAATCAGATAGATGAAAAATCACTTTAACCTTTGAAAAATTATCAAGACATCAGTGCAGGTTAAAAACAAGTTCAGACCACTAATTAACTCATCCCACACAGCGTTTGCTGTGTATAGCGTGACCCGCTGTAAGTGTTAAAAAATCTTAAGTCATCAAAGAGCGG